ATGTATGCGTTCCATCCAAGAGACAGAAATTGGGTTCTCACCGACACAATCAAACTTGAAATACCCAGAGACATTTTTTCTACTAAAAGAAACAAGTCTTGGGTGAATCTTTTCACATCTCACTTTTCTCATCTGCAAATGGGAATAATAATGGTTCCTAATTCACTGGGCAATGATGAGGGTTACAGGATTTAAATCATGTAAAAAGGCCTGACCAGCCCTAATCTGCTTAGCTCCTTTTATCCTCACTGAATGAATGAATGCAAATTGAGCCTCTACGAACCTGTCGCAAATGAAAAACGCATATGCAGATTTGATTATTGACATAACAAGAGATGGAAAAAAATCACCTCTTAGATGTGGACATGTTCAGTACTCTATGTTTGCAGTTTGCACTGTGAAATACTTTTTTTTTTTTCTCCAGGACTACACTTTGTTATATGAAGAGGCAAAATATTTTCAGCTTCAGCCCATGTTGTTGGAGATGGAAAGATGGAAACAGGACAGAGAAACTGGTCGCTTTTCAAGGCCCTGTGAGTGCCTCGTCGTGCGTGTGGCCCCAGACCTCGGAGAAAGGATCACACTAAGCGGTGACAAATCCTTGATAGAAGAAGTATTTCCAGAAATCGGCGACGTGATGTGTAACTCTGTCAATGCAGGCTGGAATCACGACTCGACCCACGTCATCAGGTTTCCACTAAATGGCTATTGTCACCTCAACTCAGTCCAGGTACAGCATTGTTACACACTGTGTGGCATCAAATGTCACTCTCACCGTTGTCACTTAACCTTGCCCTCACATAGTGCCTTTCCTCCAAAAAGCTGAGAAACTCTCACTCAGTGACACTTCTGTTGGGTAGGTGAATTATCACCCTCCACAGCAGTCATTCCGTAAGTCTTGTGATTATGCCAGGTGCTGGGATGAGCACTGGAGATACAGAAGGGACAGATATAGAACACAACAGCTGGGCACGGTGGCACACGCGTGTAGTCCCAGCCACTCCAGAGACTAAGGCAGGAGGATCACTTGAGCCCAGCAGTTCAGGTTCAGTGAGACAGACAGAGAACAAGATGGACAGCTCTGTGTTCGTGGAACTGCATTATGGGAGTGGAGTGGGAGGCAAACAGTCAACATAAATATATTGCCCAGGAGGTGGTAAGGTGGATTTCTGGGGTAGAGTATGCTGGGCATATTGAGGACTATCTGGAAAGCCAGTTTGGCTTGAAGAAAGTGAATCAGAGAAAGTGCCCAGACAGGAGGGAAGATCAGGGACAGATCATGGAGAGCCTTGTTAGGGGGTGGCAAGTGCCCTAGGATTGTTTATTTTGGCACCTTTTGGTTTTGGTTCATTTGTGTATGTGAGCCAACTGGAAATCCATTGGAGGGTTTTGAGCAGAAGGGAGAACTGACAGAACTCGTATTTTAAAGTGAACACTGTGACAGCAGCTAGAGAACAGGAGAAGCGAGGAGACGGGACAGCAAGCTGTGGTACAAGCAGTTGAGAAGTGTCCAGTTCTGAGTGTCTGGAGGGTAGAGCTAATAAGGTTTTCTGACGATGGCTGTGGGTTGTGAGACAGAAGCCCGAGATGACTAAGATTTTTGACAGAGGAACTGGGTGAGTGGAACTGCCATTTCTTGAGATGGAGAAGTCTAGGGGAGCAGGAGATGTGGGGGTGGAATTCAGAACTCAGAGGCTAACATGTGCTGAGCACCGACTCTCTGCCCTACCCTGGGCCAGGGCCTGAACATGCGTTGTCTTCTTACAGCCCTAACAGGTGAGCACTGTTAATCCGCTCTGTCTTTCTGATGAGAAGGCAGAGGCGCACCTGGGTCTCGATTCCAGCTCCGTGTGACACAAAACCGTTTGAAGTCAATGGAGTGAGGGTTCTAGTTTTTTCCCTCTTTTTAACTGGAATGGGCCCATGAAGTTGTTCAGTATTTAGTCAGCAGAACCCTTCCCAAAGCACAGAGACTCGAAGCACCCACTCTTCCGTGCTGCCTCTTAAGGATTGTTCCATGACTATTTATAACTCTTTAAATGTATGAACAGATGTCTGAGAACAGAAGAGCAGAAAATTCTGGCAGAAAATGTTCCCTAAGCATGCTAGCGGAAGGCACATGCTCCCAGGCGGCGGGGCGGCCGCTGGGTCGCAGGGTTCCGGAGGACGGCATTCGCGTTCTCACCTGTGTGGAGAGCGCCCCCTGGAGGTGTGTGGCGCTCCCGCATGGCCCTGCACAGCGTTCCTGAGCCGGTCTCAGCAGTTTAAACCTCTTTTAAGCCCAGAAAGCCGCCGGTCCCCTACCACACAACAGCCGGCCCTGGCTGCCACTGGAGCAGACAGAGGGGCAGAACCATTCAGAGCCAGGACAGGAAGGCCTCGGCCACACCCGGGGGCCAGTGAATAACGATCGTCAATTCATATGCTTGACAGTTTCCCACGTCAGATGTGGAGATTTTCATCTGGATTAACGTGATCGTATGACACAGCCATGACCTACCCTTGCTTCCTGCTCCACTGACCAAGAAATAGTCACCAGCCTGTGGGCACGCAGAGACTCTGGGATAAGGCTTATGACACCCTGTACCTCACTAAGTTGTTATATGATCACTCAGTTTAAGGAACTTTGCTGTGAACGTGTTGTTGTTTCCAAAGTAATGGCTCCATCAGCTGTTTGCATTACATTGAAATAAGCTTTTGACCACATCCAAGGTAACATTGGATCACATTGAATAATTATCACATGATGCCTATCGAACTCCGAAGAAGAGCTTAGAGATTTCCTCCTGTTAGCATTTAGTGACCTTAAGACTCAAAGAAAAACGGACATCGGGGTTAGGTTCTCTGCTGTTCACAGCTTCCTCCCCTTTGGATTTCCCCTCCTAATCATGGCAAGGAATCTTTTCCAGGGTCTGGTTTGGCCAAGCAAGCTGGGGTGCCTCTTGCTGAAAGCTGCATTCCTGCCTCTGCTGGGGAATATGTGGAGGGAGCTGTTATTCGTCTTTGTATCTACCTGCCACCAAAGCACGTCTTGATTTTGAAATTAGGGATTGTTTTCTTCCTGTCCTTATGCTGACGGGTATCATATGCATTGTGAATTTACCTACAGAAATAGCGCACTGCTGGGTAGAATGTTAATTTTGTTCTCATAAGGACTTGTGTGTGTTTTTTTAATTTGCCAGCACTTGAGGTTTTAATTTTTAGAAAACACACTCCCTTGCTTTCCAGTCTCATCCAGTAAGCTGTTTTGCAACACAGCAGACTATATTCTATATTGAAGTGGGCAACTAAAAAATAATAATTTTTTTTAAAGTAAGGATTCACGTTACATTGACTACATTTCACTTCCTTCCAATAGAAGTTTTTTTGAGGTGGGCGTTTTTTTGTTTTTTATGGTGTTTTTTTTTTTTTTTAAGTTATGACTGAATCACTTTGCTTTCAAGGTGGTGTGGAGGTAATTTAATTATATTCAGAACTCTGGCAGGAAATATTTGCAAGTCTAATAATATTTGTTGGATTCCTAAAGAAACAGAATGCTCCAGATCAGAGTCACAGGTACTGTTTCCTGCATTTAAGAGTGTCAGACATGTAGTGCCAAACCCGGGAATCTTGCTGGCGTTAGGTATTTGATTTCAAAATTAAGAAACAGATTCTATGGTTTACATTTGTATAAAAAGTTTAGAATATCTTTATTTTTCATACATTTTCTTATATGTAATCATTGTGCTGATTCTTGTCTCCTTGAATGCATGCAGGGAAATACATCTGTTTCAAATGCTACAAACTTGAAAATCTGTAGATAATCCTCTAGTGTCTTCAGTAGTCCTTTTGTTCTGCTATTGAAATTATATCAATCTTCCAGTTTGAAACATATATATTAACTTGGTGTTAGGAAACTCGAACAAAGGCGGAGTTGAGAATACAAATGAATCACTGGCTCAGTAAACTTTGCCATCACTGTCCTTTCCACATTTATCATCTCATAGGATGCATTTTAGTGATAAATGAGCTTTGAAATGTGAACCCTCATTTTTGACAGAGAGGGCAGCATTGCGTATACAAAAAAAACAGGGTTGAGGCCAAACAGACCTGAGTTGGAAACCCAGTTCCATCACTGACTAGCCATGGGCCTCAGTTTTCTCATCTATAAAATGGGTCTAACACCACCGAGTGTTGTAGCTGGTGTGTGTAAAGCAACCATGTAAAGGCACATTTTAGGCACTAGAAATGCTTACTTCCTCTCTCCTGCCCGTTAATCCAGGATCTTCCTTTGAGAGGAGCAGCTCACAGGGACATGGGTGCTGGATGAGATGAACCAGAGCTGCGCATAATCTCAAACTTTGGGGTGTTTATGTAGCCATAGGATTTACCTCACCCCTAACTGGATGCTTGTCTTGTCCTCGCAGGTCCTTGAGAGGTTGCAGCAAAGGGGATTTGAAATCGTGGGCTCCTGTGGGGGAGGAGTGGACTCGTCCCAGTTCAGCGAATACGTCCTTCGGCGGGAACTGAGGCGGACGCCCCGCGTACCCTCTGTCATCCGGATAAAGCAAGAGCCTCTGGACTAAATGGACATATTTCTTATGCAAAAAGGAAAACACACAAAACCAATAACTCAAACAAACAAAAAAGGGACATTTATGTGCAGTTGGAACAGCAAACCAAGTCCTGGACCTAAAATCGAATAAAAGACACATTTATATCCAATAGAGACCACACCTGTATTCATATGGGAACAATTGGAATAGTGATATCCTCAAGGTGTAAAAAATATATAAATATATATATATATATATATATGTCAAAAGGTAGGAAATGCAAAAAAGAAAAAAAAAAGGTGATAGCCGCAGTTGGTGCTGTGATGGCCGTGAAGTGTCCTAGGCCTCCCGAGGTCTCTGACTAATAAACAAGCCATGAGCGGTGAGGACACAGTCTCCTTACAGTTTCCATTGCCAACAGCCATCCATTCTTTCTTTTTCCTTTGTCTTTCTTTTTCCTTTTTTAAAAAAAAAAAAAAAAACCAAACACCTTGAATCCAGTTTTTTTGTATATGGAGGTTCCACGTCCCTCTTTAGGCTGGGACCGGGCGGGACTTCAGAAAAACCCTCATGAGCACATTGCAAAGATGTTAGACATGAAATTTTACATGTAGTTTGTACAGAAGTCACACTTTTTTGTCCACCTCACAGATGTGAACTTTACTTTGTTTTAAAACTGATCAGTTTTGCCAAGGGGCCAGAATTATTCCTTGTTAGAATTGCTCCAGTTCAAGTCTGCTGCTTTCCTACAATTTTTCAAATTTTATAATGTATTAAATACAATAAACTCTGTTTTAAAAAGATGGTCTGTGTGAAACACACATGTGGGGGTGAGGCTGGATTAAAGTGAAATTTTTTCTTTTTGAAATTGTCCGTGTTGAGCATCAAAAAGAGGCTTGAAAGCCGGGGTCAGTTTTGAAGGCAAAACCTACTAAAGGCTAAGGATGTCATCACCTGTTCCAGACAGTGGTCTTCTGACTCAGCAAATGTTATTTCACGTGCTTTGTGATTCTGCATTGGTTAGCAAGGTAAATCTTCCTTCTTACGGACTTTTCAGTTACACCTATTTCAGTTATCTCTGGCTGCACAGCAAGCCACACCAAAATTTAATGGCTTAAAACATTTTGTTCTGACCTGCGATACTGGCCTTCGCTGGGCTGTGTCTGCTCCACGAGTCTGCTCCATTGCTGCAATCCAGGGGGTCTTATTGGTGTGGAATGTCCTACATGGCTCACCCAGATGGCTGCAAATACTTGGCTGTTGGCCTCTATGTGGCTTGGGCCCCTCTCAACATGGTAACCGGATTCCAAGAAGAAGGCAGAGAAAGCCACAGTTCTCTAAAAGCCTGGGCCCCGGGCGGCACAGTATACTTCTGCTGCTTCCTGTTGTTGAACAGCCACATGGCCAGCCCAGACTCAAGGAGGGGGAAATAAGAACCTCCTGTTGGGGAAAGTAACAAAGCATTTGTGACCACCTTCAATGTACCATAACACCTGTCCAAAGCATCTTATAAGTAGGGCATTATGGTTTTGCAAAAAGGGAACATCTCAGAGCCAGAACTATCATTTTATTATTAGCCAGAGAAGTAAAAAACCTGAGATTTCAACAGCACTTTAGAATGAAGTCCTCAGCTTTTCCAAGGTATTAGTGACCCTGATTCTTCGATCAGCCCTACACCCACCTTTCTTCCCTCCTCTTCCTCATTCCAGACACTCAAAATAAATCTGACATGCTGGTAAGATTGACAGGTAAACGAGAATGTGTTTCTGGTGCAGAGATATTCCTGTGGTGATGGGTTATTTCCATCCTGAACTTACTTTCTTTTTTTAAATTAAAAAGTGTATGCCTGAGGACACTAGTAATGAAAATATCTCTGGCTTCTGAAACTAAAAGTGAGCTCTTAATGGCTCCTATCACTGCCTGAAACACAGGCGGCCCAAACGCTGAATTACTTTAATGATGGCTAGCCAGGTTTCCACATTGCTGCGTAATTTCCCTATTTGAGACTAATACACCACTCTCTCAGATGGGGACAGACAGGGCTGCTCCCACCAGCTGCTCAGTCATCCACGTCCCACTGAAAGGAGAATAAAATTGCTGTATGATTTACTAGCAATCCATTCTCGTTAAGCAGAATTTCCTCAAATCAATAATGCAAGGGCCTCACTTTGGGACTCTGCTGGTTATTGTCATCAGTATCAAGTGTAATGTTACCCGCAAAGGCACTGGCCTTATGTGCAGTTTAGCATTTGTCCCAACCAAATACTGCACAGAACGGTGTACATTGTACTGGCATCCACTTTGTTTTTCTTTCTAAGTTCTTCGGCTCATTTATATGACTGCATCCCATGCACATTGTTTCTACAAAAACTCTGATCCAGTTCAATGGAGCAAACAGTTCACTTGTAATGTTCACCCTTTTTAGGTCTTGAAACATGTAGATTCCCAGACAACCAAAATACTTTAGGAAAGAGCCAGGTCAATCAAAATGTCAAAATATAATTGAATCATCTTTTTTCTTTTTTTTTTTCTTTTTTTTAAGACAGGGTCCTCACTCTGTCACCCAGGCTGGAGTAACAATGGCAACAACTTGGCTCACTGCAACCTCCACTCCTAGGTTCAAGTGATTTCCTCCACCTTAGCCTCCAAGTAGCTGGACTACAGGCATGTGTTACCACACCCAGCTAATTTTTTTTTTTTTTTTTTGGGTAGAGATGGGTTTTGCCTGTTGGCTAGGCTGATCTTTGAACTCTGAACTCAAGTGATCCCCCC